GTTGAAGTATTGCGTGGAGCTCTTCAACTGAGAACGGGATTTTTGGGTTCTCTACTCAAACGTCCTCCCTCACCACGTTGTTATGGTCACCAAGGTCGCGCCCGTCGCTCCGACTGGCTGTTCAAAAAAAAACCCCGCCGTTCCGATTTGTCGGTACTGGTTTAATGTCCACCGGGCACGAGACTATGACACGACGCAGACTACCGATATTTATGTGCTTTTTGACCTTCTTGAGCGTTCTCTGTTCCCTTCTATTCTTTACTTACCAACAATAGTGTTGGATTATCCGAGAACATTCTTTCTATCAACCAATGCGATTATTGCACTTGATTTCTGGAAAAGGTTGGAATTTGGTTCATGTATGGTTCGCCAATCCAGTCGTTATGATGCTCCTCCTAGCAATATCGGTATTTCATGGCGACTGCCTCGTTTTTAATTAACGCATCTGTAAGTGAACTGAACATAAGTTGAAATGGAAATGTGAAGAGCGACAACCAGAAGAAGCATATACCACAGAACACAGAACTTGTAGTCACGATATATCAATGGGAGCCATGTTTGTTCCTAAGCGGAGGAAGATGTACCATTGCATATTAAGATATGGGCGGCTCTGGTGTCAATTCTGATGTGAAATGAACCGGCGCCTAGAGGGTATGCGTTAGCATTTAGGAAGAGGCAAGTGAAGGAGTAGGTGTGTGGAACTGTGGACGTAGTGGAAGATGTATGCAAAGCATTTTCATGTCGCTGCTGTCGTAGATGCACACATTGCCCCCTTAATCTGTATTTTCACATTTTTCGCCTCGTTCGAATTTACCACTCTCCGCACGTCGTAGCGACACTTGTTTCTGTATACACTATTTTACTCAGGGTCCCAACACAAATGGCACCGCCGTAATTCGCTACTCCTCAGGCCGCCCAGAGTTCGCTGTCTAGGTTGGGCGTGTCTGTCTCCAAATTCCGGGAATACCTTTGCTTCACCGGAGGGTTAGGTTTGATTACAGGATTATAACCTTCTCCGGTTATACATTGGTAGTGGTGTACAAGTTCCTTTACCTCGGAAGCTGCCTCAGCACTAAGGTCTTGATGTTACGAGACCTATTTGTGCGGCTGTAAGACTACTTGCATTTGCTTAACTTTATCGTCACACTACCTAATCCTCTCTTTGAAGGACTGTGTTTACAATTCTACGATAAGAGTGGTCCTGCTCTATGATTGCGAGACGACCTGTTCACTCAAAATAGATAATCAGAAACTGGCTGCTTCTGATTACCGCTGCCTTTGAAGCATTACTAATGCACATTAATAACACCACATTAGTACTGATGTCCGTCGAAGGATTTCCAAATAGGACAGATTACCGGCCTCTGAGTCACCTATTTTCATTTCACCGAATCTCAAATCTGATTGTACAAATCATAAATATTACTGAGTCTAGATTACTGTTCCCTAGTGCAATCGAATCTACTAAGCTCTGACCAGCGTGCTGCTGTGAGGATCCTTCTATGCAACACAAAAGAGTATGTGGTTATACCACAAAAATGACGCACAGAGCGCTGCAGTGAGCCTGGACTTGACGCAGTCTGGTATCGGAGATTGAAGCTGGAACTGTGCTTTCTTCACAGGATCATAAACCACATTATGCACGCAGTTCTTGCAACGGTGTTCACACATCTTTGAACACTAAGTTCTAGGTACGCAACAGAGTCAGTCATGATTCAGAAATTCCTTACGAACACACTACTCAAAGATCTGGAACAGAATTCCAAAGGATATTAGAACACGCTGTACACTGCATAATTTCAAGCTTGCAACTAATGGGCATTTGACCGTCATCATCATCAAAAACAACAGCAGTACATCAGCCATTTGAGTTGCTACTTCGCTTCCATACAACCATGACAACCTACGAAATAAAAAATAATAAGAGAGAGAGAAGGGGGACTTACTTACCTAAGCAAACATTCAGGATCAAGACACCTACACCTTGTGTACACAACATACCGTCACAAACAGCTAGCTATCATGCAAAGCGGTTAATATATTTTGGACGTCAGAATCCCTGGATAACGCTTTCGAGAACGGTATCAATGACGCCTGGTTAGCTTGCAAACAACACCTATCCGGGCAAAATAAACCTCTGCAAATCGCACATTGGCTCACAGCTCCTTTCGTTTCATTTTCTTCCCAGCCTGAATATCTGTCATATGTTTGTGAAAAACGAGTCATCGGCAGGTTGGTAATGTTGTAAATAATTCGGATTATTTTGTGTCACACTAGCGCGCAATTTTCGCCCACACGTGTTGCTTAAATGTGCTATAGCGTGGGATTATTGTAATACCATCTGATCTCTCCCTTCTGGAGAACAGCTTATTGTAGCGTCGGAAATTGTCTAATTTAGTTATAATTTTACTACACATGTTTTGGTGACTTAGGTACGTGGTCAGATCAGCTTTTACCTCACCGTGCTCGCAATGCGTACACAGAGGTCGCCTGCAAGCAAAGGCAAGGTGTCCGAAGTATAAACCGTCTGGCCTACTTTAGCAGTTGTCGGCCTCAACAACCACGGGCTCGCCTAGTTAGGAACTTTCTCCGACGGCAAGGAACCACACTCATGGGTAGACATGTGGGATTCCACTCCCATGGTTACAGTTTCGCCGACCTTTGTCTCTCTTCTTTCGTGTGTTGCGGAATTCTTCTAAATGTACTGCCATTGGCTGAGTGTTTATATATATATATATATATATATATATATATGTATATATATATATAGTACGGTGTATAAATATGTTTCCGCGCATTCTTTCTTCTCTTCACTGTCTTGTTACATCTTTCTGGCCCGAGCTGAAAGACCATATTCCTGTATTATGCGTTACTCGGCGCTAGTCTGATTCATTTCTGATGCTTGTGACAAAGGTCTTCACACTGTATCTTTATTTTGCTTATCATTCGTAGCCGTTCACTGGGTCTTCCCGTCCTATGTCCTACCCAAAGTATGTGCCTTTAACTTGTTCTTTTGTTCTACGTCGGAATCGCAATGCCTGTATCCTTGTCACACGCTTCAATTTAAGCCCACTCAGAGTTTTAGTTATACTTGTTTGTCCACAACACTTGATACGACAAGCTGAAACACGGATGATGGTGCTATGTTGCACTTTGCTGCATTGATATGGTAGCGAAGAGTTAAGTGCCTTTTTCAAAAGCAGGGGTGGCAAAGTTTTTGTCCACCGATATGATTGGCGGCATCCGGTTTCAGTTGCCTGTCACTGGCCAACGACAGGATGCCTGCGCCTATAGAGGGACCATGGCTTGCGCTGTAACACCCACAGCTCCATACACACACCCCATATCCAGTGTAAACCCGAAGGAATAAGACCGGGAGGCGTGTGGATGGGAGCCACGTTTCATCAACGGAGCCGGTCCACACTCCTTTACAGGCAACCACTAGCACACTGTATTTGGGAATCAATCGCACACAAGGCGGTGGCTGGACCGTAGTTCGCTCCACACTGAGTTCATGGAACCACTCTTTGATCCTAACACGGCCACGAGAACTGTGCACCCCGTCCCCTCCAGCAACGACCAGCTGTCTTTTTTTGAATAACTTGCGGACATTTTGTACTTATCACGGATTCGTTGCTAACCAACTTACTTCATATGCTAATTTAGTGACCAGTTATATCGGTATAGTTTTATGTGTTAACCGATCTATTTTATTTGCTAATGTTATTCCAAGTGATTGGCTATTGTTGCACATCCCCGGTGTGACTGCGCTTGCTGTGCATGTTGACAAGGTACCTACCTGTCCACCGGTATGGCCATTCATATACGTACAAGTCGCGTTATGAATAACCAATAATTTTGGTTGCTGATTATTAGTGGATTTTTGGGGAGTAGTCTTGCAACAGCATCCCGAAATAATCATGAACGGATTAGGGGTGTAGGATTTGTTGCGCAATTAATTTCTTCCAAATTGTCGAAATCTTAGAAAATGCGTAGGTGAAGTCAAAGATCCACAGGGATAAAAACTTTCGTTGCCTGTAAAGTGAAATTCGAACAATTAAGTGTTTATCACATATACATGGGATGTAATTTACTATATCTGCATCGGTCTGCTTAAGACATAGATTTAGGATAGGCTGGTTTTTCAGAATTTATCGGTCAGCAAAGAGATGAGGGCATGTTTTACTTCTACGATCGCAGACCTATGTGTCGGATTAACTGCTGGGGCTCTAAACAAATCTGTATTTCCTCATATGTTAAGGCGTCACAAGTTGGATCATAGGCAGAGATCAAAGGTGGACTTGGAGAATCCGCTGGTGATTGGGTTGCTACAAGCAACCTCTATTGAGATCTCGGTTCACTTGAGGTCATTCCGATCTGAAAGACCGTAAGTAAAGCAAACATTTTTATAGTGTTGCTCATCCCAACACTGGCACCCCAAGACCGCGGTTTCGTCCTGGTTCGGACTCATCAGTTCGAGATAGCCTGAATTGGGCTGGCACTCAGAGCCTAGTGGCTCATGGTTGAGCCACTATAAAAATGTTTGCATAGGCAGAGATGTTTATCCAAGACTGATGGCCCAAAACACGTAAGTACTAAGAAAGTGCAATTAAACTACAATCACTTCTGCAGTAAACCTACTGAAGTAAATTAACGCAGCAAAGTCCCAAAAAGTGAATAGGAGGCTAGTTCTCTAAGCGATCTGTTTTTCGAACTGAACGTAGGAAACTAAACGAGGCGTCAGAAGATGTGCGAAGCGAGAGGAACCAGATGTGAATCACTGTGTTAACTTGCTTCCTAAGGCTACCGGTGCACCGTTGTTTTGCATGTGTTCTCAGTGAATGAGGCTTATATACCAATCGACTTTATTGTGTACTTTGTACTTCAACCCCCATCGAATTTGTGTTCACTCAGTTCACTGCTGTAACATAGCCTCTGTCTATTTCCAATCGGTACTTGTTAACTGATACTTACCATCTTTGGTTACACGTTGTTCACAGGTGGAATCCTTTGGCAGTCTCCTCACATCAAATCGCCCCGCGGCTCGGAGCAAACAGCGCCCTTTGGTTTCCATACTGAAATCTGCTCCTACCTCTTCTCATCAGTCATCTTCTCCAGAGATTACTCCTCTTCTTGGTGGCTACAACCACGAGCTGCGTACTGCGCGCCACGTGGGCCCATTTGGACCAACTCTGGATACTTCCAAAGGAGCTTCTCAAACAAAGGGCTGCACATTTAGGGATGTCGAGGTGATTTCGCATCAGTTGGGATTCGTTGCGGACCAGCACCCAAGCAAAGGTTTCCTGCCCGTTTTGCCCCCTCACTTAAGCAATTCAGAGCAGCCATCTTCCACTCGGCTAGCGGCTCTAATAAGTCAGCCTTTGTCTGACGCCATCTGCTCATCTGAAGCATCTCGTCCGTTTGGGCCAGTACTTCCTCCGCATAATCAAGATTCTGATTCCGGTTACCCCGTGTTTGCATCCGATATCTCGATAGCTCGACGCCGCACCAGCTCTGGGACCCTGGTCCAAGAACGTAACTCTCAAGAGAGCTGCTCCTTTTCCTCAGATCGTTCATGGGATGAGAAAATGCCTTTGCGCCTGGATTACCCCTGTGACTTACGCTGTTGGCAGTCATCCGCTACTGCGGCACCAACCACTTTCTTTGAGTCCAGTATTTTACACCCGAAGACGGTGGCCGAAGGTAACCTTGTTTTACTGCTCCATAAACTCGTGTCTCTGTTTTTCAGCTGTTCGGCGTTTCGTTTTAATGTGTACCGTCGCGACGGGATTGGACCTTAACGTAGTGCGATGGTTTGTGTGCCTCAATGATCCATTGGTGGTGATGGTTTTTGCACCTTCAGAACCACTCATGCCAGATTGGTTAGTGGTTAGAGACCAGATAAACTCAGTCTCCTGGCCCTCCAGATTCGGGGTTGGAGTGAGGGTGGCTGCTTACTCTATGAAACGAACTCTCTGTAGCCCAGTGCGAAAACCCGGCTGCTTTTCGGTAGGTTTTTTAACCAAAGGCTTTTAGTGGGAACCCTAACCGTTTTCCTGTCTAGACCTGGACAACCTAACTGCATACTGCCCACGTAATACATATGATGATGATGATCATCATCATCATCAGCAGCAGCAGTAGCAGTACATCAGCCACTTGAACTGATGTTTCGCTGCCATACCACCACAACGATCTACAGAACGAAGAATACTAACAGGGAAAGAAGGAGGACCGGGAAACCTTTATGGCCTAAACAAACACTCAGTGTCAAGAGGCATACACCTTGTCATCAACATACGGTCACAAACAACTGGTTGTCATGTAAAGACAGCTTCCTTATGGCTTTCACTACCCCGCAGATAACTCAGCACCTTAAACAGGCAGTCCGACTAGGAGACGGCAGCGGACGCGCCACTAGTGTCGACTGCGAGCCATGTCCTGTAAAATCACGAGCCGAGCACAAGACGAGTCACCTGGACTGCAACCTTAAAGGCGCGACGGACCGACAGCACCGAGTTTTGTCTTCAGTGACTTCATTTCACCCTGCCAAGCTGACTTTTGCCCACCTTGGGCCTTGCGCCACCCTACACCTGGCAGACTAAACAGGACCTTCCTCGGTAAGCGGTGACCAGGCATACCTAGTACGTGTTCAAGCCAACGCTATCTGTCGTTCTAAGGAACTAGTTTGGGTATCATTGCCTAGCACTCGCCCACGCATATCATCGTTGCGCACACGCTGGTGTCATCCGACGCCAAGCATGCTCCGCAGACAGCGATGATCAAAGACTTGAAAGCACCTCAGACCATCAGACCGAAGGAGCCGAGTCTCACTCCCATGTAGTTGGGATGGCCGTCACTGTGGTCTTGTAAACACGGCATTTCAGACGGGGGGAAACTCCTTTCTGTCGCCAAAGAATGCGGCTCTGGCTTATGCAATACAAGAACTGACTTCAGCTGTTATGTGCCCATCGTTGCTGATGCAACTGCCAAGGAAAGTAAATCGATCAACTACCTCGAGTTCCTCGTTATCATGGGTCAAGAGGTTATCAAGTAGCAAGTACTCTCGTAACAACGCTGCACTTTGGAAGTGCGAAGCGCTTGTCAAATGATGGGAACACACTACAAAGGTTATTCAGCATTGATTGCGCCGCCCCAACATCGTTAAACAGCAAGACGATATCGTCCGCATAATCCAGATCAACTAGCTTCTCCCCATGCAGCACCTCAAAATTTGCATCATGAGATCCAGCAGGGGAAAGCTACATGATGAAGTTCACGACGAAGTTGAACAAAATGGGGAAATTTGACAACGCTGACGAAGGCCACTTGTTATCGGAGAGTTATCTGATAGGTCGCCGTAGACCATGACGTGGTCTTTGGTGTTCGCGTATAGAGCACGTACAATGTATGCATATTTCATGAGATCATTTTTCCGCGCAAGTATTTCGAACAAAATGTATCGATCGACTGCATCGAACGCTCTCTTGGAATCGAGGAAAACAGCTTTTGTCGGTCTGCGTTACATGTGTCGCTGCTCTAGCACCTGTCGCAGATTGAATATGTGGTCTATACCACCCCATCCTGGGCGGAAACCTGCCTGCTCTTCTCTAATCCGTGATTCCCGTTCCGCAGTGAGGCGACGAACAAAAATTGAGGACAATAGTTTTGTCACAACTGGCGTTAGGCTAATACCACTGTGGTTAGCACAATCAGTGCGACCGCCCTACTCCTCCCGCTTCCTCTGTTACTTTCGCCCGACTGGTCCACCAGGCTTCCTTGTCAGCACACAAACTCCTTTCTGGTTTGCGCCTAATAGTTCATCTGGTCAAATTGTACTCAGAGCCAACCGTGAAGTTTCTTCTGGATTCCAGCAGGTTCACCGATCTCTCGGATATCCAGTGACTGGTGCGGTGGCGATTGATATCGCCACAAACATGCTTCTGCGTCGTGAATGCGGCCAACAGTCTATTCCACTGAAGCTGGGTGTCATTAGGACAAGACTGCGAAAGTTCGGTACGCAGTGCATCTTGGCAGGCTTTCCTGACCGAAGGCTGCGATAATTTCTCGGTTTCCAATCGGAGGGGACGCTTGGTGCGCCTCCGGATAAAGTTCATGGAAAAACGACGGTGTACCAAGGTATGATCAGATTGGACGCAGGTATTTTAGAATGAGAGGCAATCTAGGGTAGAACCACGCCACCTTAAACTAATGGCAACGTGATCTAGTTGGGTCCATTGCTGTCAGCTACATGAGGACGCCAAGTGGCACTTCGGCGCCCACTGTGTCTGAAGGCGGTGCTACTGATAGACGCCTGATGTTCCGCGCACAGTTGAAACGCACGCTCGCCGTTGTCCGTCCGTTCGGAGTCAAGCCCATAATTGCCACCTAGCTAAGCTTATGAAAAGCCCAGGCGACTTACTTGTGCATTCATATCGCCTGCAAGCACTATGATATTTGAACTGGTAGCACTGCATAGTTGCGTGTTCAGTTCGTGGTAGAATGTGTCCTTTGCAGCATCAGAGCTGCAGTCGGTGTGAGCGGAAGCGGAAGCCACAAACAAACAGGGTCTTGTCGTAATTCGTATATCAACCTTAGTTGACGTCGTCGAACGGGTTGCACACAATTGGCTGTTCACTGGAATCCAGTCAACCAATGATGACTCAGCACTGGAGCGGAGAACGATGCCTGCGCCAGGTTGGCCTGTGAGTGCTGCATCGGCATCTCCGGATGCGTGCAACCAATAGCGAGAGAACAACCTGGGCGCAGGTAATTCAACAACCCCACGAGGGTCATTGTTCCTAGTTTCGGACACGCAACACACGTCACTACCCAGGGTGTCCAACGTGCGTGTGAGTGCAGTCTGTTGACTTATTTCTTTTAGTGTGCGAACGTTGGACACTGCCAGGGAAACGGGACAACGTTACCATCTAAGGGATTGTTGCCGTTAGGCGTCTAGTGGGTGGTGCGGAAAGCTAGTTGCAGATGGTTTGACTCCAGTGGCATTATGGCTGCTGTCAGTTAGGCTGGGAATTATAAGAGGAATGTTAGTAATGGAGTTGGGATGGGAGTGAGAGAGATATGTGGAAACAAAGGAATGGTGGCACCAGCAATGGCATGTTTTCGCTTATTCGCCCTGCTGTGCAGTCAGCTTTTCGACTGAAATGAGGCCTCCCAGGTTTCATTTTCAACCCGCTCCTTTTCCTAGAGGTAGACTATGCGCTTCGCTGGTCGATTTGGTTGGCATTGCTCAATTTTATGACCGCATTCAATTTTTAGTTGGGCAAGAAGAAATTTTCTGCGGAATCTGGAAGTTGACTTGCACACATTTTTACTCTGTGACGCTGTGTTCGAAATCAGCGTCGGGTCGTTTAGTCGTACAGCTCGATAAGTTAACACTGTTTCGAGCATTCCCTGGTCAATGTTAGAGACAATTCGTCGCAGCCATTTCCATATCAGACCGATCTAAATTCATCCGGAAAAGCGTTAGACGACTGTTTCGTCTTGTTAGCATTCGTAAAGGACGCTAAGTCCTGAAGAATAGAAAGGCCTCAGCAATACGTTGGTGAGTCGCACCAACGCCTCGCCGGCGCACGATCACCAGCAATCGCGCGCGGGGGGTTACTACGAGGTTGCCCACGCTTACACAGATCTGAACCGGACTTTTGTTTACAAGGCAGATGTCACTGAGGTGCCTGTGTCGGACCTCCATGACCCACAACTGGCTGCGGGCTATCGCTGGTTGTCCTCTGTTGTCATTCATGTTACAAATGTTCGGGAAATAAGGTTGGTCCCCAGCACCGCGGCTTCCCTTACAAGCCGCCACTGGAAGTTATGAATCTCTAAAATTGTGCCATATAATCCGTAATCCTCTTAACTCCGGATCATAGATCAGAATGTATCTACTGAGTTGCATGCAAGGAATTCTTTTTTGTGCTAATCTTTCGTGTACCCCATTACTTCTTCTGATTTGAACAACCCCTATCTTCATTCATTCTCGTGACCTCTATTGCAGGAAGCACACTGACGAATTTCGATCAGTCACAATCTCGGGAAGCGAATCTATTCACCAAAGTACGATCCAGCTCCACTGGCACCCTCTTCCCAGTCTCTCAGCCTTTGTCATCCAAAGCAATCATACAAGATTCCACGACAACCGTATCCAGTTATGGCAGTATAGAGGTGTTGTCCCCACCCATCTCTAGTCAATCGACTTTCGCGCACACACCTACATCTTGCTCTCCACCTCCGTTGATTGACGTCGATTCATTTGGCCGATCGTTTCTTCAACTTTCCTCGGAGGAACAACGCCGGCATGCGGTGCAGGCGCGTCTACAAGCGTTGCAACATTTGGTCCACTTTTACAACCTAGACCACCCTACCGCCTCCCGCCGTCGCCATGAGGACCATGATACTCCGGTGAGAGTTCCACTACCTGGTCGAGTGGACGCAGTTGCCCGTAACCCAACCGACCTGATGGAGGAGGACTCTTTGCTTCAGATACGTCGGCCAGCGGTCGACACGGCTGCAGAGGCAAAAATTGACGACGCTTTGTGGACCGGCGGTTCCGAAGTCACCGGTCGTGCTTCCAATGCAGCCACTCTGCGACAGAGTGCCGAATTGATCCGCTATTTGCGTGAAGTCAATGAAGCTTGGGAGGTGAAACGTGCTGACTTGCAAAACGAATTGAACGCTTTGGAAGCTCTTAACGCGTGAGCTCAACTTTTTCGTTGCGTTCTTGTTGTCTTTTTCCTGGTATTCTTCCTTCGCTGTTCTTTTTGGTCCGTCGATCTTTTCACGTGATGTGAGGCTTGGGGACATCCTATATTTCGATTTCGTTCACATATCCTCATGAACTTCAAGCGATCTGTTCAACCAGGCTCGAACTCTTGCCGTTCTCATGTTAGCTGCACTGAAGCACAAATGTTGCTGCGCTACGCGAACGATGGATTGGGTGTCACAATGCTGTCAACTTACGATGATTCCCAGCATTCACCCGAAACGCAAACCAAACACTTCATTCAGCTACTCTGCTCGACCTTCTTTGTAATCTGATGGTGCCGGTTCTAGCCTGCGTAGGGACCAGGCGACCCTCGCAGTATCCTGAGTCCACGCGCGACCGGTGATGGTTGCAAGACAGCAAAGCGTCGGCACCGCACCGGCACACTGCTAATGCCCTTCAGCTACTCGAAAGAACTAAAGCGAAGTATTGTTACGGAACTACATGCATTGTGAAGCGAAGTCGTTCCTCATTGTTCACCTCCCGAAATTCTTTGCGACGCATGAGATCTCGTGCACTACAGCTTTTCTGTCTTCTGATATTACATCCGTCTAGTGTCCCACTGATGCTCCTTCTGCACACGAGCAGCTTGACCTCATTATACAAGTGACTTGAATGGCTTCATTTAGCTGTCTGCGCTACATGCACTGATTCACGATGAGTCCAGTTGCCTTAGCTCATGTCATCACAAACCGGATGGGTAAACGTTGGGGGGAAATAGGTGAATAAGATAAAACTTATTGACTCGGCATCAATGGGCCAATGCTTTTTCATTTTCAGCTGGAAGAACTAGGCGTTATGAGAACGAGCCCAAATACAAGAGCACCACGGAGCCCGGGAATGCGTCTTACTTATCATGGTGTCCACACTGGTTTAGACAATCATTGCCCCTCCTATCCAGGAGGATGACATGCGCCAACACGACTCAGTCCTGACGACCTCACAAATATCATTAGTGCTAAATAGCTGTCAGCCCTTACCGATGTGAAAAGAAGCTTCCTTTTCAATGACGCAAGCTGCAGGAACGCAGCTCTCTTATGGGGCAGACTTACCCACCTGTTAAGCAGTGTGCCTTCAAAGGTGGATACTGAAACTGGCGGAACAGCACTTTGCACTTTGTGGGGGCAAAGGACATAACACCCTTGGCTGATTGAATCGCTGCGAGTCTTCAACGAGCGACGATTATGATCTCGTTTGGTTTCTTGGTTATCTAGAAGAACCCCTTGCATCACAAATCGGAGAGTTTTTCTGAGCGCTCAACAGGACTTCCACGGCTGTAAAGTTAAACGGAAACGGGGCACATAAGCCCCTGTCGCACACCGCTAGTGGCAGTGAACGGTGAAGAGAGCTCGAAAGCTCGTGATGCTTTTCTGGGACTCCTTTCTTTAGTAAGCAACGCCACATGCAAGCCGGTAGGCCAAGTTAAAGGTAACCCGGCTATTTAAGAAATCGTTAGTAATAGGCCTGTTAAAACGCTGGTGGCCTACAAGACCTTTGTGAAGTGTGTCGATTTGCCTAACCACCCTTCGGGCGAAGCTGAAACCAGCTTGTTTTTTGCGGGGTGATTCACTCCTTCAGAGATAGCCTGCAGATCAGAATGGATGAGCTTATAGTTGGGAGGCAACCGGCGTGATAGTAGTTCCTCGCTAATGGATGCATGAAACAAGCTTAATTTTGGGACAAAACTGATTGGCACCTAGTTGCAGGAGCCTAATGTTTATACGACTATTGCCTAATGAGAGCCGAGATACCGTTCACATGGCGACCATTATTTGAACCGAACTCGCAAACAAGGTACGCAACGTCCTACTTGTCAGCTTCACTTAGTGAAACTCACGACAGTGATTGTCCTTGACCTAGACAGAACTGCTACTGGTTGGTTGCAAACATGTTACATCGCTTTTTACATCTTTTATTGATCTCACGTGATTCTTGAAGCCCGAAATACACAGCCAGGGCCAATTCCACTTCAAGACTTCAGCTTTTCTACCTAGTGCTTAACTAACGCCAGTCTAACCAGCTCCACGTGCCTATACGTCATCAGGTGGAGGTAGGTGATATCTGGCTTTCTGTTCGTTAGCGGATAGCAGCTGCACTTGGTTACTGCAGTCGGGTTTCGGAAAGATAGCGAATACCGGTAGCAGGATCATAGGGCGCTTGATACACCTCACTGTGAACCATTCTGCTTGAGTAAGTCCGCCGTCCTCACCCATGGCTTAGTGGCACATCCGGAACTCATTGGATCAGAATCGGCAGGTGTCTTAAGAACGCGCACCATTGACGAGATGTGGAAGGTCGAAACGGCCATCTGGTGCTTTTCCAGACGTGTGAGAGACTGCTCGACTGAGAGGGGACTGCGACTAACTACCTCTAACATAGAACATTATCTTGGAGGTTGCCTTTTCACAAAAACCAGACGCGTGTGCTTAGCGCGTGAACACAGTCAGCATCTAGGTACTCACTCTAGACCAGCTGACATTCCTTCGCTGACATGTGTAACTTGTAGCCGATTGTATTATAGTCAGATTGGATCCAGGGCAGTCTACCGTTCGTCGTGTCTGTGCTAGAAATCTGTGCTGTCTATGCAATGATTCTGGTTGGCTTACGGTTGGAAAATTCACCAGTAACCGATATCAATACGAATTGCACCTACTCCGAAGTTGCTTCCGTATCGATCTTCTGTGACTGATACGCTACCGATTTGAGCATTCTTATCGTCTGCAGCACTATTCGTACTTCCAAGCATGCGAATTATGTACCTGAATTGCCCATCGAATTCTTTTTCCGACGACCGGCTCACCAACGTCGGGGAGGCTAGAATCGATTATGGTTGTATGTTTTGAGTAACAGTTTGTGTTCTTCCGATTGCGTCAGTGGAGCCCAACTAAGCTGAGACTGGTCGCCTAATTGATCAAGGCCTTTTACAATTTGTCCTTGTTTAGCGCCTGTATTGGGCTGTGTTTTTTCCCGAACCACAGCCGATTTGGCACATAACAGTCATTCTGTCTAACTGATATTTAGCTTGTTCCAGTGTATACAACCGAAGTTCTTCCATCCTGGTCAACGTTTGCGTCTTTGGGGCCCCCTTGTTTCTCATCGTGTAGCGCTTGCCTGGAGAAGCGTTTCCCGTCTGGCAAGTGCGCGGTGGTTGGTCAGCTCTCAGATGCTCGTATGACCACGCATTCTAAGGATTGGTTCCGGCGCTACGTACACCAGCAGACGGAGGCCAATTGGAAATTCTACACCTTTGGTTTGCTCCTTGAGGAACTGTTCCAATCGTTCAACGCGGTCGTGAACACGTTGTCACAGGACCACTTCGTTCGGTCGATTCACAATTGGCTTGATCAGCACTGCTCTCCCGGACAACTGCACCCAGGTGAATTCAGCCGCAGCTTCCGCTTCTGTGTCGTTTGTACTTCGTTTTGATGAATTGCATTTATATCGTCAGTGTTTTCTATTTTACTACGCGTGGTAATCGAGCTGATACCTAAGGCCTTCGTGGATGGGTCGTAAAGATGAGCTACTCCATTGCTTGAACGCCTTATCCGATAAGACACAATGGCGATCCCGCATTCGGTCTACTGAATCTCTGTGCTAGCCCACTGCTTCGATTACTTTCACTGACTTTTTCTCTAAATCTTGGTATTCTGTTTGTATCCTGCTCTAGTTTCCACACCGTTTGTTTGTGATTGTCCTGGCGATGTGAGTTTAAACAGCTGAACTCGCTGCGCTTACCAAACTAAGTGGCGCGGCAACTCGTCTTTATGTTTACTTACGCGATTTACTCGACGACATTACCAGCACCAATGTAGTCAGCCTAGTTGGCTTAACTGTCACTTGCTGTGCTGGGGGAGGCATGAATGCCACACAAGTGTGTGATAACCCTCTCAAAATGTCACATCGAGAGGCGACAAAATCGTCAGTTTGCATTGTCTTTTACACACCAAAAGACGACTGTACCAATCTCGCAGATCATCGGTCTTGTACACTGGTTACACAAGTTGAGTAAAATCAAGAGGTCAACATATATCGTATATTTCCTCGCTTTACAGTTGTTCCTTCGCGCTTATTTTTCGGTACATACCGTCACTTGGTCTGGACATATTGTATGCGAGATCAGAGTGTGACCTTTAATCATTGTTGTCTTTTGGACGTTGATCGCGTATCGTTCACTCAATTCAGTCTGATTATCGTCATCATCATCAATACACGTTAGCCGAGGTTGGGAAACTGTCCGGGAGAAAGTAAGAATTGCCTTGGAAATTCCCTATTTTAGCGATTAATCGATTATTAACGATTATCGCATCGATTTCGAACATTCCTGAATGTTTTTCTTTTACACGTGATCAAAATCCACCTGACCTCTCGGCAAATGATATGGGGAACCACTAACCTTGGCAGCTGACCTTCCAATTCTAGAAGTCGAAGGTCAGTAGAGACCTATAAATACAGCCAAGGTCCGCAGTTGTTGTACAGTGTTCGTTGGCTGCGATTAATACGTTATTTGTCAGGGTCATTGGCGTTTTGCTTTTTTCCTTCGGTTGGGCTAGGAGTTTTGTGGAGCAGTAAATTGTTATTTTTGGAATTGCGTCTAGTGAGAAGATTATAACAGAAACAAACCTCAGCTAATATGCCGTAATACAAAATGGATAAGAGATTAAACCTTGCAAATTACAAAAGCTAAAAAAGTAACTTTATGCTAAACTCACACGATGCATTAGATTGAGAACCCTGTTGGATGGGGAAACTAAAGGGGAGGGGATGGACAAAGAGACTCACAACACAAACGCCATTGAGGTCGGTTCTTCACCATGTCAGCTAGTGTATGCAACCAAACGTGTTCATCGTCCTTAGGACCCCACCCCAGCAATCTGGGGAAACGCCAAGTTCGAAGTGAGGGATTTCATTCCTCTGGACCAAGTCATCACTTGGCCTCCTCTTTTTCTCCTCCATCCAGATCACAGGCTCGCAAACGATGCACGTAACAGGAGTCGATGTGTTGACATGCGCAACGTGTGGCCCAGCCATCAGAGCCTAGTAAGTGATATAATTCTGCTGAGCGGTTACATGCTCCTCCTGCACCAAATACGCAACCCCGAAACCCATATGAAATCGATATTAGATGCTAGCGTCCCTCGATTTGAAGAGAGGGTTTTAGCACAACCCTCATTCGTCGTTGCTGCACCGACCACTACGACTCAGAGTTAATTAGGCCTAAATATTACAGGCTATGTTGATCGAACGTTCGCCGCATAATTCATCTTGGGTATATATGGTTGGCGGCATCCGGTTTCGGATTTGGCTGTCAGTGTGGCCAGCCACAGGACGCCTGCGTCTACACAGGGACCATGAGTGGCTTCCGCTGCACCACTCACAACTCCAACCACACACACCATATCCAGCGTAAACTTGAAAGAATAAGACCTGGAAGCATGTGGATGGGAGCCACGTTTCATCAACGGAGCCGGCCCACACTCCTGCACAGGCAAACACAAGCACGCTGTATTTGGGAATCAAGCGCACACAAGACGGTGGCTGGACCGTAGTCCGCTCCACAACGAGTGCATGGAACCACTCTTCGAGCATAGCACGGCCACAAGGACCGTGCACCCAGTCCGCTCCACTAACGACCAACTGTCTCCTGTATGAGGTAGTGGATAAGAGACAGGAAGGTGCCTTGTTAAAATGCACATCAAGCGCAGCCACACCGGGGATATCAAGCAACAGCCAATCACTTGGAACGACGATATCAAATAAAATAAATCGAATAGTGCATACAGATACGGTGACATAACTCGTCACTAAATAAGCATACGAAATAAATTGGTTGAAAAATTACCCGCTATAATTTCAAGGCGTAGGAAAAAATATTTTAAGAAAATGTCGCTAACGCGAAAATGTTGTCGAAGTTAACTACAATTAGGTTAAGCGCCGTGTGCAAGTTTACAGAAGATAGTTCAGGTAGACATTAGTATGAGATAAAAAGCATTAGGACAATATAGCAAATCCACCATCTGAAACAAAGAGACTCAGCATGCAAGCAAGCGGTAAGTAAGTCGAATGCAGCGTATCTACAAACGCTGCGCCGGTTCTGCCTACGTTCTCTGTAGGACCCGTCGGCGTTTCGGTGTCTGTCCCGAGTGGCCCCGCTCATGGATCACTAGGCCTGCCTGACTCAGGCACTAGCGACCACATGTGCTACAGCACCATGCACTCGATTTCGATGGAGTACAACCCATCGGCGCCCGCCGCTTCCGCAATTGCCGCTTCTTCTCCGCATGCACAATGGATTTCTCTTGCACCTCGGTAACTGCTTTCGTGATCAGATTGCGCCATGCATGCCGATCAACCACTTTCGATTCCCATGACCTGCAATCTAGATTAAAACGTGAGGGTCTCACTTTGATCATGTCCTGGTAACGAAGCTTTGGTTTCCCTAACACCCAGCTGACCATATAATAGCTGCTTCGGTATCCGCGTCGAATCCATACGCCGCACATGACCGAGCCACCTCAGATGTCTCAGCAGTCAACTGCATACATTCCACTTCGGCGCAACACTTCCGTGTCCATAACTCTGTCGCACCAACCGATGCGCAGAATCCGTCGCAAACACTGTTGATGGAACCGCTCGAGATACCTCACATCTCTCCAGTACATCGTCCACGCTTCGCTGCCGTGTAGAAGAACGGACAGCACAATGGATTTGTACACCATCAGCCTCGTGCCAACGGCAAGCTTGTGGTTGTTCCACATTCAGTACTCTAGCTTCCCGAATGCCGCCGCTGCCTTAGAGACGCGGATACGAAGCTCAATGTGAAGCTGTTGGTCAGTCGACATCACACTCCCAAGGTAGCAGAAGTGGGAGGTGGTTTCTAATACTTCAGCACCAATGCTGATTCGCGGTAGTATTGCATGTTGCACCTCCGGTGAAGGCTGAAAGAGACAGACAGTTTTGGTTGTGTTGTTGGTGAGCCCGAATTTGTCCGCTCTCGAAGCCAGAGCACTAGTCATATGCCGCAACTCATCCGCGCTGTTTGAAAACAACGCACGTTCGTCATCAACCTACCGATAGTTGTCTCACAGGCTAAAGTTCTCGCACCGAAACGACGGATGTTCAGCAACCCACCATCAATACGTTGCTCCACACGAACACCATAAGCACAAGCGGCATCAAAAGCACAAGACTTCATTGCAGGAAGATAAATATCAAACAGGGCAGGAGCTAAGACACAGTCCTGTTTCACACCGGAGACAACTGCAATGTTGTCCAAGGTCGCTACACTCGGCTGTACCCTCGGCCGCATACCACTGTCCAGACATTCAATAAAACTTACAAATATACTCGGTCATCCAAATGTACCTAACACCAGTCACAATACCTCGCGGTTAACCCTATCAAATATCTTGGTGAAATCAACAAAAAGCGTGTACAACGACTTGTGTCATTCTCTACACTTCTCCTGCAATCGACGAGCCGCAAACACCATAGCTATAGTGCAGCGACCCGAACGGAATCCACACTGCTTTTCCGCCATGTTCTGTTCCACAACCTGCCTGACGAGGGTTTTGAGCAGGATGCTGACAATAACCTTGCCCACACAACTCAGCAAGTTGATGCCACAATAATCTGTGCAACATTGCTTGCTCCCTTTGCCCTTGTACATTGATAGCACAAGGGCATTCTTCAGTTCATGAGGCACCTCTTCCTCAATCCATACTCGTTGCACCAAGTGGTGCAGCGAAGTCACCAACACGGGTCCGCCGTGCTTCAATATTTCAGGCGGGATCCTGTGGGCCCCAGCACACTTGCCGATTCGCAGCTGAGCAGGTGCACTCTACTCATCCAATTTCGGCGTATCCACCAGACTTGTCTTCACAACGTTCTGCTTCAGTCCGTTCAATGTAGCCCAGTCGATCTCTACACGGTTGTTCAAGAGACAGTCAAAAATGTTTTTGAAAGATCTGCATCACGTTTGCAGTCTGTGTGCAGGTATCGCCTGAGCTACCATCGACCAGCGTCCTCAGCCCCTCCATCCTCAGTCCATACACGGTCTTCACGGAGTCAAAGATTTCCTTTTCTCTTTCGGCGTTTGTCATAGCATTTCATCTGCTTCGCCTTTTCTGTCCACCATGAGTTTTTAATGCGACGGAGCTCTCGGGTCAGTTTTTGTCGAATTAGCCCAAACTTCCTCTTCTTCCCCAATTTACTAGATCTGCCATATGTGCCAATGCGCCAATCGTCGTAGTGTTCTTATCAAACCAGTTAGACCGCTTACAATTTCCGCGTCCAATGGTGTCCTTGGCAGCAACTGTAACCTGATCGTGAATGTGGTGCCACAGGTCGCCCACTGTGGCTATGCATT